GGTGGCTTTTCTATCTCCTAAGATCACATTCTAATTTTGCCACTATGCCTCCTCCTCCTCCTCCTCCTCCTCCTCCTTCCTCTTCTTCTTCTGTTAGAGATTTGTTGTTATGTAGAGTAGTTGGGTTCATCAACAAACTCATATATGCATAGAGTTGGATTTCAGCTCACAGTCCTCCTCTTTTCCTTCCCCTCCCCTGTTCTCTTTCCTCTACATCCTAGACATCCTTTCACTATTTATTTATATTTGATTGGTTCTTTTTACTTATGCATAAAGGTGAAATTTCCTGTGGTGAATTTATATACACACATAACATGATTTTTTTATACCTTTATTTCTATGTGGTGCTGAGGATGGAACCCAGGGTCTCACATGTGCTAGGCCAGCGCTCTACCGCTGAGCCACAAGCCCAACACATGATTTTTAAGGAATTCATTCTGCATTGCCTCCCCTCTCCGACCCCTCCACTCTGCCTCTCAGGCTCCTTCGTGTGTTCTACTGATCTTCCCTTTATTTTTTATGATACCCTATCCTTCCCTCTCCCTTTCCTTCTTTTGACTTAACTCAAGCAAATAAGAGTAAATATTTGACCCTTGATTTTCTGAGTTTGGCTTATTTCACTTAGCACGATATTCTCCTTTTCTATCCATTTACCGGCAAGCCCACTTATTCTATGTAGAAGATTCATCCAGATTTTGGATGAGAATTATCTTTTCATGCAAAAGAAAACATTGGAGAGAATGTTTTCTTTGATATCTGGACCCCTATGGTGTCTTTTTGTAGCAGTACTAACGTGATTTGTTGTTTATATAAATATGAAATCAGGGAATTTATAGAGAACAAGGCTCCATTAGATAGCTATGCAAATTTTTACCACATAGCCATTGATTATTATTCTCTCCTCTTCCTCCCATTTCTTTCCAATTAGTCTGGGATGAGAGACTGGGAAGGAAATTTCAACTTATTTACCATTTATTTTATATGTATATTTTAACCTATTGCACTTTGGAAGGATTAAATTTTTAGACCAGTTTGTTGATGTCACAGAAAAAAAAATTACTATATGATGTTTTAGTAAAGAATATTTCTTTTTATAGTTGAGCACAACTTACTTTCCCAATTGGTCAGGAACGGTGAAAATTGTTTTCTTAAAATATTGATGGATGTCAGAAAAGCAGAAGGGAGGCCGCCTCTTTCTCTGCTCCGTGGGAACATCCATCTTTCGGTTCTGTGAAGAATAAGGAAAGGTAAGTGGGCTCAGGTGACTCCCCGATGCTGCAGTTAATGAAAAGCTCCACTTGCGGTGCCATGTTCAGGTTGATTGATCTTCCCTGGGACCAAAGCAGGAGGAGAGGGGACTATTTGGTATCAAAGTTCTGGTTCAATTTCTGGATGTAGAATGACTTGGGCGCCTGAGTTAAAAACAAAACAGAACTCAGGTTCACCCTCCACCCTCCACCCTCCACCCTCCACCCGCTGAGCCTCCATCACGGAACACTCCTCCACAGCCTTGGATGCCTGTCCCCGGGGTGTGCGGTCCTTCCCTGACCTCCCGCTGTCCCCTGCTGGCTGACGCCCCCTGGGGTTGGCCACGGAGAGACCCCCGCAGGAAGAGGAGGGGCTGCCAAGTGGGGCTCAGAGGGCCTTTTAATCCTGCGACTGCCGCTCCCTTGGTGGCAGCGGCTCTCTGCTGTCACTCTCCTAAGGGTGCCACACATGTGATGGAGAATGCTAGGGTTTGGACTAGGGTCCCCAGAGGGCCATGGGTTACAGGACCAGAGAGTGGTGCTATTGGGAGGTCATAGGACCTCTATGAGGTGGGGCCTTAAGGGAGGTCCTTGGGGGGGGGCGTGACCCTAAAGGGGGGGCATGACCCTGGGGACTCTGGTCTCCCCTCTCTCTGCTTCTCGGCTCTTATATGATATGAACCCTTTGCTCTTCCTCCCCATCCATCCATGAGGTGCTGCCAGAGACCCAGACTGCCTGATCTTGGACTGGATCCTCTAGAACTATGAGTCAAAACCAACCTTTTCCTCGTTAGAAGTGAATTGTCTCCGGTGTTTTTGTGATAGTAAGGGGAAACTGACTTAAAACGTCAGAGTGGATTCTGCTTTCTACCTTGACAAATGCAGGAGTGTAATTTTAAAAACTGAATTAATATCACATTAGGTTGCTTAGGAAAAATATAAGAAAAAAGTATTCTTAGAGATGTGGCATCCTTGTAAGAGTAGACAGACTTTTCCCCCTTCCTGTGCTGGGGATGGAACTCTGGGCCTATGTGCCCATCAGGATAGCGCTCTCCTGCCGAGTTGCACCCGCAGCCCCCACTGAAAGTGCTATTAGAGCAGCAAGAAAACTGACATTTTTGGTGTTCTCATTCTAATTTTTAGAACTGAAAGTTGAAGGATATGATGGATTCCAGCTCCAATTGGAATGCATGTGGTACGTTACTAAGATGAAATTGCAGAATGAGAATCAGCACGTGGCAAAATTACATTGAAATAAAAGATGCACAACCTCGCGCACAGGGTTGGTTGTGTGTGTTTGTGAAGAAGAAAAGCAAAAATTGCAGGTTGATATTTTGTTGTTTCATTCTGGGTCCGATTTACAAGATGACTTCCAATTTCTGTTTTTATCTCACTCCAGGCAATTAATCTGCCAATCAAGATTTCACATTTATAATAGAAGGGAGATGAGTGGAGGAGAGGAAGGGGGAAGCAAGGGGAGGGGAGAGTCAGGAGCAGGGAGGAACTGCAGAGTGAAATTGAGGAATCCTGCTGTGTACACACAAGAATATGCCACAGTGGATTCCACCTCTGTGTATATCTATGGAGCATGAATTAAAAACACAAATATTTTTACATACTGCCATATTAGTGACTGTTGTATTCTGCTACCTTTCTAATGTATGAAATATGTCAAGAGCTTTGTAATGTTGTGAACAACCAATTAAAAAAAAACACACACAAATAGGGAGAAGACCGGCAGAGTAAAGGAAGCAGGGGGGAAAGAGCAGGGCAGTGAGAGTAGAAGTACTGAGGATCGTAATGAAGCAAATTATATTCCATACACGTATGACGTCAAAATAACCCCACTACTGTGCATAATGCATTAGTGGACCAATAAAAAGATTTTACACTTATATTTTTTTCTGTAATGAAAGAAGTGTAATTTTCATAGTTCTTGTGCAAAAGTAATTTAAGCAAATCTAATTAATAATTCGTGAATGACTTCTTAAGATTCTTCTGTATGATTATGACATTTGAGTTCATTTTAATGAAGAAAAAGACTTTCAGGAGTGATTTGAAAGATGATTTTATGAAAAGAAGACCAAAAAGTACACACAGCTTTCATTCCTTTGAGACACCTTCTAAACATTTAGTAACTCATTTCTGGAATCTCGCGGTGGTACTTCTAGGGAGTGTGCCCA